TGGAGCTTGTCGGACTGAAAATACCAGGCCACCTTATGTTCAGTCAGCCAATCCAAATCCAAGACTAAATCATAGGGAACGGGTCCCACTAATAAGTCCCCGGAAAAGCGTGCGTGTCCACAACACATCGTCAACCCCGTCACAACTCCATCAATGCGTAATAGTTCACATGTAGCGACAGTGAACCTATGCTCTTCTGAAAGTCTCCGCACCCTCAGCTGCAATCGTTCGACTGTTTTAGCATTAATGAAGCTTCTCGAAGCGCCTGTGTCTAAAAGCGCCTCGCATGAACTTCTTGCAAGCTCAACGCGAAGTAACGCTGTTGCACCCACTTAGCACAAGGCTCCTCCTTGGTTGCAAGATGCCTTCGCACTAGTTTCCCGCCACCAGTGCGGCATAGTCTCTATCGCTTCTGGCCTGCAGTCTTCTTCTGTCGCTTCTGCAAATTTCCCGCTGCTATCCGTCTTCTCGCACGGAGCCTCTTCATTCCGCATCGGCACCGGCCCAGACTCCAACCGCGTTTCCGAAGGCGGCTAAGTCCCCTGCACGTCCTCATCCCTCATTTTGTTTTCCTCTACCGTGTTGAGGAGGCGGTTCCCCCGCTTTAGGGAGACTAGAATGGCATTAGGTCCTGTCACTACCGCACACATCATCCCTTTGTCATGGCTACACGGCCTAGAAAGCTTGTCTCCAACAACGCCTAGGCCTCGCGGTTAAACCGTTCTGCCTTCTCAGTGCTGGGACGGATAGGTTGCCTGCTGCTCTTGTTTTCCGGCTCGGCACGGCCTCGGTCGTGTAGAGGACAGTCACGAGCATAGTATCCAACACCTCCACACTTCTTGCAGGTCTCGCCTGGTTGCTTGGTTTGTTCCCCTTTGCTGGGACAAACTCGTGCCAGGTGTTCACGACCCTGACAATTGTAGCAATTCCCGGAGTTTCCTCCAGGCCTAGTTTCATTCTCCTGCCTCCGCTGGGTTTCATTTGCCTCAATAGCAGCTCTTATGGCTCGAGTAGCCCTCTCTCGTATCTCCAGCACGGTCTGCTTAGGCTCATAGAGTCGCGCTGCTGCTGTCGCCGCTTGTTCGCAGGAGGAATACTTCACCTGCCCATTATTTGTAATGAGAAGATAGAGGTCAGTTGGTACCCCAGCGCAGTAAGGGTCAGCGAGTTCGTTGGGGGCGATCCCAACTCCACGCTCCGCTACAGAAGCAAACTTGCCCAAATACTCTTCAGGGTTTCCATTCCACCGTACTTTATCTAGCTCCGTTAGCAGTTGACTTTGCGACATTGTCTTGTCGAACCGTTCAAGAAGCCTTCGCTCTACCGTCACCCAGTCGCTTAGGTCGATAGTTCGCTGTAGATATATCCAATAGGTTAGAGCCGGACCCAAAAGATGGTCGATAAGTGCGTTCCCCCACTCACTGGTCTCCAATCCCATCTGGGTGTACCGTCGTTCGATACGCATCAAAAGGGCCTGCATAGTACTGCCGACTTCAGAAAGTATAGGCAACGCTGCGGTCGATTCTCCAGACCCGCCTATAACATTCTTTATCACAGCCATCGCAGAGTGGAAATGGTCCCAAGTGACGTACGGACCGTCCCCTGGCATGCCATTAACATTTGCTACAGGTGCCACCTGCTGGGGTGTCTCCTTATGCCCGTGCGGCCGCTCTGCCACAGTGGGTTTCGGAGTAGCATGTCGAGGTTGGGTTGGTGTTGCACTGGGCAATTTGTTTACTGACACTGTAGAACTCTCGTGTTGCATAGGTCCGACTACGCCCCGTTGCGTAGGTGCATTCCGTACTCAGCTAAAATATCTAGGTGCGAATTATTAAAGCAAAGCATTTCTACCCTCAGGTCAGGAAAAAAACTAGTTTTTCTTCCCGGAACAGCCCCAAACTGTAGTACACTGCGTTCTCTACAGCGTCTACGACGCTGCACTGCCCACAACTCGGGCGCTCTAAAAATATTCTCTACTACCGATGCATCGGCCGCGTAACCTCTACAAATGTATTAAAGAAACCGTTTTTGTCTCGAGTTCTCAAAACCATATTTTCATAAAGTCATTTCTTCTTGCTCTTGCTGTGCTGGTCCGGTGAGGATGTGACGCGTACCTGTGCTGGCGTTGTCGGCAGCCCCAATCTTAGAGCATTCGCAGGCATTTCTAGTTTATACATGTTACTTTGTTAATAAATTGCATTTGTATTTCACTAATAAGAGGTTACGGCGCTCAATCCGCGTCTCAACGTCTTAACCGCCTAGAGGCCATCAGTTAGCTATCCTCTATAGGTCACCAGCAAGCCCCATTGCAGTCCCTGCGCGCAACACACCCTGATACCAACGCCCTCATTCACAGCACGCACGTACTTCGTCAGCAGTCCGAAAGACTGTTGTAGGTTTATAACTGTGAAGATTTGCCTGAAGTAGGGCGCAAGACAATTGAATGTACCACTCACAGATCAACAATTAGTTTCATTCTTGAATTATATCTCGTTTTAACCCATATTTCCACAACTCTTTTGAGAATGTCTTCCCCCGTTGGTTAATTTTAGAGCAAGCCAATATTGTTTATTAACGTTTGGAGAAAATATGCAATAAATGCAAACCAGATACGCAGTTACGGAATATTCAGAACTGGAGTAACCGTGAAGGACACGCAGAAAAAACGCTCTAATGAGGTCAGCAGAACGGTCCATCAGACAAATGAGCTGCGTGCGACCTCTTATCATTTTTAATAGCGTCTCATGGAGATCCCATCGACAGATGTCATTCAGTAGCTCACAGCGGCAATTAGTGGGTCGTGTGGCTCTCGTGGCTTTACTTCATGTCACTGGCGCGGCGCCTGAGGCTTCCACTAATTTTGCATGTTTTTTGTCGCCAACGCATTAAATGTGATAGTTTTGCAGTCGGGGTATACTGAAAAGACGCTCATGAGGATCTCCAATACCAGCCAGCGCTAACACGTCGCCGTGCAGCCTAAGGTTGTCTGCGAGACGACAGCAGTGAGACCCATGCCTTAGCAGAACAGGCTAGGGATGAAGGCCGACCCGAGTACATCTCAGCCACTGCCACTATTCGCTGCTCGCGTAGAGCCCTCAAGAAAAAACCATCATGACCATCCTCGCAGGGGCCGCAGTAGCGGGCCAGCGAACAGCACACGCAGGTCTAGAGTGCATGAACACAGTTTTGAAAACGTCAAGTTCTTTTCTTGACGGCTAAGTCAAGCTAGGGGAGCTAAAGAGCTGCTGTGCATATCAGCCTTTTGACAGTGAAGACACCCCTACAGGCCTTCCCCATTGTTCTGTTTTGTTTACTGAACGTTCATATTCCCTTGAACGTTTAGTGTCTACTTGTGTTTTCTATCTGACGAGCAGCAAAATGCGGTCAGCAACAGCCTGCCCAACATGCTCACAGCTTCTTGTTTACGTGTCGTTGCATTAGAGAAGCAAAATTCCTAGAACATACCATTAACGCTGTTGCTGCAGATGCTGTTCCTGTTCTTTCTGCTGTTGCATTTGCTTCTGTTGCTACTGTTCTTCTCTCCACTTCAATAACCAAATCAGAATCCAAGCATTATCTATTTTTTTAAGTTTACGTTTTGCTTTTGCTGAAATAATGCTGTTGCCCCCGTGCGAGTCTCAGCGACAGCTTTAATTAGGGAGCGTTGCTGCTACTGTCTCCAGTTCTCCTGTCTCTACTACTGCTTCGCCCTCCTTCTTCGAAACAGAAATTTGAAGGTGCTGCTTTTGTCTTAGTTAATTCCTTTTTCTTTCTTTGAGAAACAAGCGCGCTGCTGTGGTTTAGCCTGTGGTGTGTCACTCAGCAGCAACTTGTCCGTTTTCTCAAAACAGTTGTTTTGGCATCACTTCTTGATGCGAACATTAGAGAAACAGCATGTGGACAAATGGCTGTGTATCACGATACTGTACCTGGCTCAACTGCTTTAAGGGCTACCTAGGACCACTATATCAACCGCCTGTAGATTGGAGAGGGGAAAAAAATGCGCTTCTGAAACAAGACTAGTTCTGGCCTTGGGAGATTCTGCTGCACTTGCACACAAGGAAGCACAGGAAAAGTTGTGTTATTTCATGAGACTCGACCACGAGCAGACTCGGTTGCTATGCCCCCGAGTCTGCAGCGCTCCCTTTCTCCAGAGGCGTCCCAAAGGCAAAACGCGCATTTCACGATGTGTAGGCAATCAACATGTTCAGACCGCCATATGGGAGGCAGAGCCATAATTCTTACGAATACATATGGCCAGCTTCAACCTGCATGCGAGTGTGTAGGCAATCAATATGTTCAGACTGCTATATGGGAGGCAGAGCCACAAATCCTACGAATACTGTATAGTCAACTTCGATCTGCACGTGAGACATATGTTGGCTTTAATTATTGCCTTCTGACGCTTGATAGGGAGAAAGTAATTTAGCTCCGAAGCGTGCATTTTGCTTTGAGCCGCATGCAGGTTACGCAGGATTAGGGTCGGCTCCATACATGTAATAAATTTATTGTTTTTATAGTACCTTTTTAGAATCAAAGTTGTACTGGTGTTATTAGCGCGTAATAAAGATTTTATTAAAATTTGGTAGGAAGTAAAAGTCTACGCAGGTGGTAATAATTTTAGCACGGTTTTAATAAACATTCGAATAAAACATATTTTGCTGATATAGCTCAAAGGCAGAGCATTTAAATATAATGTATCTCGTTTAAAAAAATTTGTAGAACTATTTCAACAATGTATTAAGACTTCAGAATGTTATATTAAAAAGTTGTTAGGTTTGCATTATTAGATTGGGATCGAATTGCAATGGGATCGCACTTTTTACTAAACGCTCGAGAAGAATATATTTTGCTTATATAGCTCGACGCTAGAGGCTTTAAAATTAAAATATATGTATATGGACAAGATATTGGTTTACGGTTTGGTTATTAAAATATAAAGTAATTTTCGTAAAGGAATGCGTTGCCAAAATATTTGCTTCAAATTGCCTTTAGAGTTAGAATTGGATGTACCTTTATTAATTTAATGCGTACTGAATCCAACTTTTCTAAAATTAAATTGATAAAATTTGATTTAAAATTATATATTTTGTGCTTCTTTTTAAGCACTATTTGATAGCCCATTTTGCTTGCATAGTTATTGCACTGGGACTCCTATTGTTGTCATAATAACTATGTAAGCAGAATGCAAAGTATTGCGGAGAGTAGGGCAGCAACGTCCTCTGATGGAACAGCAAATGTCTGGTTCTACAGGAGAACAGTATTGTGGTATCCCCTCCCAAAACGAGGTTTTGGGCAGATGATACGCCAACATGTGTCTAAACACAAATACTGCTAGTTACACAAAAAATAAAAAACAAAGGCGCAGTCTTCTTTTCGTGTGGTTCCAGCATGTAGAACATTAAAAGATGGGAAAGTTATTTTTCTGTACATGACATGCTCGCATGGAACGTGGTAAAAGCTTACCTTTAAAGGACTAACTCTCCGAGGAAGCCAAGAGCGAAACGTAAACTATAGGCTTCACATCTACTGTTTACCTTGCACCGAAGTCAACTTATGAATGCTTCAACTAGTGTTTCTTCAAGCTAGGAGAACAGTATGCACAGAATGAAAATGCTGTCGTGCATTTCATACGAGCATATAGGCTGAAAGACTCAAAGAGTAAACTTTCTAAATGCAAGAAAACAATGATAGTAAATGATCATGCTGAGCTGCCAGATGGTGCTATGCTGCTGGACAGTACCTAATCGTCGCGTTCATCTTGTACGCACCACTGGTACCATTATTTCAAAAGCGCGTCGGTGAGCATCTGGATCTAGCGAACTGTTCGTATTAACTGAGTTTTTAATATCAGTAAGGAATAGGGAGGATTGCGAATAACAAGAACCGAAAACTGCAAGAAAACTGTGAGGAACAGGGGATTCAAAACTTGTGGAAAATTACGGTGAGTGGAGATAAAAAATGGAAAAGAAATTAGTAAAGTCCCTCCTCCATTCAGAAATGTGTTCATCTTGAACCACTTATATCTAAGGTGCTGCAAGTTCATTCTGCAGCAAAAACTGCTTCGTCTGTTCTCTTCTCCAAACACGCCACATTCTAAGGCACATGGCGACAAAAAGGCTGATATTTCCCGCTGTTTCTCTGGGTTATGGCAATTTTCCAGTATTTCTGCCTTTTTTCAATTCCTAATGCTGTATTAAGCATTTTGTGCCATACTTTTCTTGCTAAAAAATGTATTATTGCCCCGGCGCTTCAGTATTGCCAGTTGTTTTTCGTGTTCCTCTGTCGATCTAATGCATCCTATCGTTAAGTGCTCCTTACCTTCAATTCGAGCCTTGGGTCTCCAAGATGTCTCCTGATGGTGGGAAATGAACATTGCCTGCCTCCATGTGCTGGAGTGCGTTCCAACACATAAATATACGAGAAGCTCCCGTACTGTCCTCGCAGGTGAGCAAAAGTCTCTGGTGGCCATTCCTCTGCTCATTTAGGCAGATATATTTAAGCGAAGACGTGAAACCTCTTGCTTTTCCTGGTGATACAGTTTCGTTGTGCGCTCCTCAG